TTTCGTCTTTCCTATACCACATTGCGCTGATGTGGGGGTGTGTGTGGGCGTGTGAGGGGGGGAGAGGGAGAGGGGGGGGGGGGGGGGGGGGGGGGGGGGGATAAAGATATGGGACTGTGTATGTTCCTGCTTGGACCGATTTTGGGGCCCTGTCTGTTGCTGTCGCGACATATATTATGGGGCTGTGTCTAGTGCTGCAAGCACCGATACCGATATGGTGCTCTGTTTGTTCTAATGGTGGATTTTGGGGCCCTGTTTGTTCCTGTCGGGATCTACACCAGGCTTTGGGCCTTGCTGCACTACTCTACAGATGCACAACAGACAAAAACGACGGCAATGTATCTTTCCGTGTTCTAGGGGTGGATTCAGTCTCATTTTGCACATTTGGAGAGTTACTGTAGTGCAGCGAGGCCCTTTCTCTGTTTGTCTGCCGGGACCGGTACCGAGTTCTGTCTGTTCCTGTCGGCACCGATCTCACGCTCTGTCTTTTCCTGCCGGTACCAGTGGGGCTATCTTTTCCCCTCTGAAGGGGGGAATAAACTTAATTCCAACATCCTTACTACCCCCCCTCATTCCAGGGGCTGGAGAGAGTTCCAGGGTGATGGGAGAGAATCTAGTATTAGGGCATATACTCACAGGAGTTTTTCGAAAATGTATCAGACTGCATTTACGGCCAGACCCAGATGTATCTGACCGCAATTGCGTCCACATCTTAGAGCAAACGGTCTTCGTGTGACTATGCGCTTATTGTAGCCGTGCATCGAGAGGTTACAAGAGGGAGAGCTAGGTTCCGCTCCCTTGAGATGCCAAAAGAGGAGAATGTGACTTGTTGTTTTCGATATGTTTGAAGTAATGAATTAATTGCCTTTTTTTCTCTTTTTTTTTTTTTTTTTTTTGAAAGGTCCATTAATTGCCTTTTGAACTTGGCCAATATATATATAATATTTCGAGTTATCCATATAAATGTTTTTGTTTTTTTAATCGAGGTACCATATATTTGGTACGAAATGTATTTGAAGTTTTGAACTGTACTTCAAGTAGATGAACATGTATTAACATCAGAATATATTAATATATATATATATATAATATATATATATATATATATATATATATATAGTTGTTGCTTGACCATAATAGTCCACCTGCAGAAGGTAGTAACTATACTACCTCAGGAGGCTTTACTGTAAATGTCTTACAGTTAGCGTTTCACGGTCGCCACCTTCTTATGCATCATGCGACRCYAGGCGATGACCTCAATAACMATCCTCATATTTTTGCCTGTATTTTACATAGACCCGGGCATTATATGGCACTCATTCGTGCAGCTGCCCAGTGGGAACTGTGGGATGGTGGGATGATGAGTCAGGTCATTTTCGACGTGAATGCATTTTTGCGAGCGTTGTCGAATCATACTTTATTCTGGATTATTGACCGACTCTCGTGTGACGCCTGTCGGGACAGAGATGCGGTGCGCCTTGGCTGTGGAATGCAT